GTGTAAGTATTTCTTGTAGAGTGATGTGGTAAATACAAGAGAAAGAGTCTCCAAAAAAATCAGTAGTTTGTACTTTCCTGGATTTGTTTATTTGTTGGTTTGTTTGTTTTTTGGTATCGCTTATCAAAATAACAACCAACTACAGAGTGAATTGGCTATCATTTCTTAGGGGCTGGATAGATGGATCTTTAAGTTTCTATAGTTTTAACCTAACTCACCACTCTGTTAAATCTACACATGATCTCTGTGAGTCTTTTCAGATTCACAATGTAGATCTTTTTATTCTTCATTGCCTCTTCCAATGTAATCCCTTCCAAGAATGGTTCCACCATCTCAGGTGTGACCTTGAAACTAGAAGATACCATTGTTATCATGACACAAATTGGATTTTTATTTAACAACCAACATTACAAAAGCAAATTAAAATTTTTAAATAAGTGAGTTATCTATAAAGCACTCTTTGATAAATTCAAGACATCATTCTTCTTGGAAATATGAAAAAAGTTTTTCTCTTGATCTCTAGTTTCTAGGGATCAATAATAAAAAATTATTGTATCCCAGTTTTGGCTTAAAGTATTCATTGACAGCCATAAATATGGAACATATGAGTTGAACCAGTGTTCAAGGTAGTCACACATAACCATGACTGTGGTCCAGTGGCAGATATAAACTTTCAGTGAAAAGCTAGATAACATTAACTAACTAACCATTTACAAAACTCATGCCCACTGATAAACTGTCTTACTTTTCAGGGATTTCCATGCAAAGTCTGATAAGGGTTGGGTTGCACCCTTGAAGCCTCTGACGACCAAAGTTTGAGTCTTCTTTCCAGTTAAAATAGCCCTGTAAAAAAAAAAAAAAAAAAGGAAACCATGATCAACTTGATGCCAACCTGAATTTTTCTTGATTCAGTTTCAATCCAAGATGCATTTTCGAAAGATGTCCTTACATAAGGTAAGTTGAGGCTTCCCTTGTATAGATTGCTCATGTCATCTAATGTTTCCCAGGGATCAGAAGTTAATTTGGCCAGCTTACACTTCACAGCCAACTTGTACTTGGTCTGCTGAATATTCCACTATAAAGAAGAAATAGCACAACTATGCTTTACAACTGGCTCCAATTCTACTCCTAAATCATAATTAATTAAAATTGTGAAGGGGATACAAGAAGTAATAACAACAGAGACATAGGAGATATTCTCTGAATTGTTTCTTAAATTATGATTTCTCGGAGTGTTTGACTATGAAAAAGCTTTAATTAAGTCCGAAAGGGAAAGGAAAAGAATCAAGCTGTATTGCAATCAGCTCCATCTCCAATATGTTTAAAAGAGGAGATGTTAGTTAAACATGAATATTCCCATTATAAGGCTGTACTTGGCTAAGTCTGTAAATCGTTATGAATTAATCTGTAAATCACTATGAATTAACAGGTATCATGTTCTTCTTCAGTATATTAAAAGTGAATTTTTCCATTATAGTGCTGAACTTGGGTTAGTCTGTAAATCGCTGAGAATCAACAGGTGTTATGTACCTTTTCAATACAATAACAGCTAATATTATTGTCGTGTTTAATGTTTTTGTTGGATTTTCTTCTGATGTTCAGAGCTTACGTCAAACTTCAAACAATGCTCTCAATACCGAAAGAAGGCAAATGTGTCAAGTAAACAGAAATATTGAGGACTGCATTGATTCAGAAGAATGAATTTAAATTCAAATGGTTGCATACTCAAAATAGCTGTTCTAGTAATTAGAAATCTCTCGCCTGAGTACAAAAAACAAGCCAGGAAAAAAATTAACCAAGAGAAATATTTCTTCAGGTAAACAAGTTGAGTTTTTTAAGTTAAGTTATTAAATTAAGCTTCCAGTTACCCTACCAAACGAATAAATAACTAAATAAATGTTCACTTGCTGATACCAATACCTTGTAGTCGTTGCTAAAACTCTCGTCACGGGGACAACTTTCGATCTACAACCGAAAATAATAAGAAGTCTTACTTTTTGGTTACGTAACTTACTTAACCAACCATTTAATTACATTTAACCTAATAGCTGAGTAAAGAAACCCATAGTTACATAACTTTGGTTATCTGCGAAATAGTTTGCTAATGTTTAAGATCAGTTGCGTAACGGCGATTGTAAATGCCCCAAAACTTGCCACGAAATTGCAAGCCAGCGATAAAGAGTCTTCATTCTTGAGGACTAACAGAGTACAATAAAATAAAACAGATTTCCACAGCAACATTAATTGAGACTGTACCACTAACCTGTTTAGGAATGCCTGGAGCTTTACGCGATAATCGATAAACGTCTCTCTTATCCTCTAATTCTTTCTTCCGTTGTTCTTTGCATTCGTCAAACTGTGGCAGTACACAGTCATATTCTGTCAAAACTAACTTTCGTTCTGCTTTCACCCATCGGTTACAGGGAAAGATCACCTCGTCGGACCCAGGATGAAGATTCTTCACTTTAATCCATTCCACATACCAGTCGTCACCGATACCACTGTCGTCCCTCCAGATTTCAATTTTATGCAAACGACCAGGTGGCAAGCCGCAGTGAACTTTAAATCGGTCCACGGAACCCTTCTCAAAATCGTTCTTCCATTTACAGTCGAGGTTCAAGTCACGCGAACGAGTGCCATCTTCGTTGTACAGAGCGCTGAAAACATTAGCGTCTGTTCCTGCTCCTTTCACATCACCGGTCTTGACGATTATTTCACAGTCAGGAGGTAAACCGCTGCATGAGTTTCCCATGTTGATGCACTTTGCTGTACAGCGAGAAGAAAGTCTTCTACAGAGTAAGTGATTCAATCGTTCTTTCCCTTCGGCGCTAATTAATCTTTCGAACTTACAATCTCAGTGTCAAACGCACAAAACCAAACAAAATCTCCACCGAAGGCGAGGTGATCTAAGAATTAAGGTTTGGCCAGGGATTTCTGAACTTCACGGAGTAGCCGCGATAGTTTTTCTCTCTTTCGCTCTTCAAGAACTTCTGCACGTACGTCAAATTCTTACAGAGGTGTTACGGAATTTTGTCATTTAGCTGTAGTGACGTCACAGCTGATTATCTCCTACGGAGTGTTATTCCGTTGCCAACCCACAGTTGTTTATGAGCACGGACGCGTACAAGTAATCATACATTCATATTTCAATCGATTAAGCTTTACCTCTGACTGCGTAACATGGAATTTGACCTTGTCTAACTGAGATAATTTGAATTTTCAACGTTAGCCGTAATACTTGAAATCTGGCGCATATCCAATATCTCCATCCGGTTGGCCACTGAGCGCATCATAGTAGAGTTGATATTGCTTGTCTTTCAAAATACGGCGTGAAGGCGAATTTGTATTAACAGAAAGCAAAACAATACATTTACATCACACAAGACTGTGTCACAAGACATCTGACCCAAGGCTAGAAACATTGTTTTTAGAATAAAAGTCTTGATCACATTAACACTTGATCAAAATCAGAGATCTAATATAGCAAAGGTTTCCAAAGGGAACTAATTATGCGAACAAAGCAACCAATAGAACTTTTACAAAATTATTGTTTCTTTTAAAAGTTTTTTTACAATTAAAAACCCACCTACTATCAAGAGAATGAGTTTAAATGAGCTATATGAAGGCAGTTCATGAAAAGCTGCACGAGTAGAAGAAACTAGATTTTTGAAGCCAAAATAATATTTAGGAATTGGAAATGGGTATTCCAGAAAAGTGTCACCTAAAGAGATTATGCTTAGTCGCAAAAAATCAATTTGCAAATATACTTCCTAATCCTTTTATCTGTTAGAATGGAGTGGATTTCGCTCATGTTCTAAGAAACACCATAGTGATCACAGACTCAATCACTCCAACGGGGCAAAGCCCTGGAGTTAACCAGTGCAAATCAATTAGTTGCCAAAAGCATCTTGTTTATTCACTTAGCATTAAAGAAAAAAAACAAAAAAAAAACACTAAGCATAACAAACTATAGCTTCTAGGACTTTTTGGTACAAAACAACGACGACGACAGCAACAACAAAAACATCAACAGTGAGCACAGTTTCCTTTTATTCCCTATGTTCAATGTATGTAGTATCAAGGCTTTCATATCAACAAGCCTCACATGCCAAACACACACTGACTGATAAACATACATACAAGCTGACATGCCCGCTTCCAAACAGGCTTGTTGGGATGAAAGTCTCATTGTTTTTTTCCCTAAATCAATACATATATACTTATATGTATATAAGAAAAAAAAATTAAAGACTTCAAAAGGCACAAATATCATATACTTTGGTAGTAAATGTTTTACTGGTCAGGGCCTCATCAGTACAAAGTTATGCATACTAAGGCTAATTAAATTTATACAATAGGCTGCTAGGGTTCGTTAACTTGAAGTGTTACTCCATTGTTAGTGTTCCTCCTATTCATCCACCATTCATGATTGACATGTTTGCTTCATTGCATCTCTTAATTTCAAGAGCCTTGATCATCTTTCTAATGTAAAAAACATTAATGTTAGGATGTAGAATTTCCCATAAGACCTTGTTGAGCATGGGTCTTTTGCTGTGGTTGGTTAGATGTGGCTAGATGACAATAGACTGTTTTTTTTAAATTCATTCATAGGTTAGGAAGCCCAAACCAGCAAAACATTTACTACCAAAGTATATAATATTTGTGCCTTTCATGGTACCATGCCTTGGTTGATATATATATAAAGTGTAAAATTTTGACTTTTGTAACACAGTGCTCGATACATAGGAGTAGAGCATTGTATATATTGTGGGAGGAAAAAGACAAATAAACTACAAGTTCATCCCTACAGACCTGTTTCGTGGTTGCCCACTCATCATCACACGAAACAGGTCTGTAGGGATGAACTTGTAGTTTATTTGTCTTTTTCCTCCCACAATATATATATATATATATATATATATAATATATATATTGATATATAGCAAACAGTATGTGTATTACTTGATTATAACTTTTATTCTCACACAAATCGGCAAATAAACAAGGTGAGGATCACACTTTTGTCGTGGGTATTTTAAACAAATTAATGAACTTAAGTTGATAAATTTTATACCATACAAAAAACTGTTAGTACAAGTTTTTAAATTTATTTTCTATTTAATTAAAATGAAAAGAAAAAAAAATCTTGACATTTCAGAACTCTTGTATATGTAATTAAGGGTATCATTCTCAGGTATTTCTCCAATACCTTTGGTCAACATAATCAAATTATAGTGAATCTATCATTTATAACCTTTGCAGAACTTGACATTCTTCATTAAAAAATAATTAACACATTTCACAAAAACAAAGCAAAAAGCAAGCAACTATCTTTGAATTATATTCTAGCAGTAACTTTTCTATGAGATGCCAAATTCTGTCTGAGATTCTAGACCAATTTTAATGTTATTTTATCTATCAAACGGTATTCCAGATATTAATTAAAATGTTTAATGAGTGTACCTCACATGGTAATCATGAATGAACAAAACCTGCTTTATGGTACACAAAGCATTAGTAATCTGAAAGTCAGACATCTCTCAGATTTTGAGAGACTGACATTAAATACATTTCTTATCACAAAAAATACTGTAAAGATTTTTCCAATTTATGAGCTGTGTAGTTAAATAGTCATTTAAGGTGAAGTTATACAACAAGTACAAACAATCCTAAATTCTAAATTACTTATAACTATCCCTTTGGAAAGCAAGTTTTCCACCATTTTATACCATTCAATTCACAGTTGACAAACTCCAGCTGAGTATCAGATGCTTCTGAAGATGAAGTCAGTGAATGAGTTTTAGCTGTTACTCTGTGAAAAGGGAACAACAGGCTATAATCAGCATACATCACTTTGACACAAACATTACCATGGAATGGAATTGTCAGGAGAGGGCTCTATAGCCTATGAGATCCTTCTCCGATTTCCAACTAGTACAGGTCATAATCAGCACACATCAGCTTGAGATAAAGGTAACCATAAAAGCTAGGAACAGTCAGGGGGTCCATAGATTATATGACCCCTTCCCCTTTCCTTCTGGCATGATAGAGCAACTGGGAAACTTAGTAAGTAGAGACAGCAGCTTTGGAAAAACATTGTAATGTGCTCAATATTCATTTACATTGTATTGATCAAACATTTGACAGTGTATGGATATCTTTCACATATTTTTTTCCTGTTTTGCGAAGATCTTCATTTAGTGTCTTAATACTTAAGCATACAGTTACAGCAGCCTATACGGAGATTGGAATGACTTCAATAGCTATGATGTGCTCTCTCTGCTTGATATGCAAATAAGCATTTAAATTACATACGTTATGAGGAAAGCCAAATTGTATGACCAGCCACAGCAAACTCTCCTGAAATATCACAAAAAAAATTGCACTCACAAAAATGCATAAATATTGATAATAAGAGCACACAGCTTCCAAACTGGAAACAAAAAAATTAACAAATCAATTATTTTACCCAGAAAAAATCATAACATATCTACAGATCCAAAACCTGGAGAACAATGAAGAAATTCACCAAAAAATTACAGAAATTTATCAATCATTGTGTAAGATATATCTTGAAAATCAAATGATTTTAAAGGATATCCATTGAGGTGTGATGGTAAAGAACAGGACAGGAGCCAACAGAAAATCAGATCCTCAAGAAAAAGTGGAAACATATAAATGATATGATAACTGAATTTCCCACTGGCAGACCTGTCTACAGGTGTAGGGCAGGCATATAATGGTGAGAATCCTGCACAGTGTGTTCCATTTAAGGTAATTTTCAGTGCAATGAAACTTACTTTATTTTGTCTGCTTCTTTACCTCTGTACATTGTTTCCACAATAAATGTGTGCTACATGGGAAAGATACACAACATAGTGACTACTTCATAGCAAACAACACTTTACTTAAGTGCTTGAAAAAGTATGTGTAAAATATTAATTTACTTCTATTAAAAAAATACTTGTAGTTGTAACCAAGGAAACTCATTAGAAACTCAATAGAGGTTTTTCTTTGGCATATTAAATATGAGTGCAAAACTGTACTTACCTGCAAAGATTGCCCCTTTCAATTTATGGACACTACCAGGGTTTTTTCATAAATGTGGTAACATGAGAAAAGTGTAAACTAATTGGTGAGTTTACTGCACAATAGTACTACATCTGAATAACACAAAGTCAACAGGCCACTGAAATTTAGTCCAGGAATCCTCTGATCTATGAAGTTTAAGGAACACTATCTAATCCTGTGTTCAACTCTTCAACTCCCAGGATCCAATTGTAAATTCTCCCAACTAGCTACTAAGCATTTCCTTATAAATTAGTTACAAGAATTTGGTGTTCTATCAACGTAACAAATTCAACCTAATAAGTTTGAGCATTCTCATTACCTGCTTGGTGGATAAAGCTTGGATATTATGGGGAGAAGTTATATGCTAATAGCTTCTGGGAGTTGAAGGGTTAAATCAAAACTTCCCCCTACTGATCAACATACATGAAGACTTGACCGTGCTGGCACTTTTATCTTCCCTAGAATGTCTGGGTCGGCTACAACATATCCATTCCAGTTGACTTGAATGTTGATGTGATCCAAACTTGCCTCAAAAAAGTTGGAATTGTTGACTAAAATAGTGCTCTGTTGAAATTAAAAAGAAGTATTCATAATCAATATCAGTTCCACCCACTTTATTACAACATTACTTTGAATTAAATTGGATTACTCTGTAAAAAAAACAGAGAGACACTTCTAAGAGAATTTGAAAATCAGAACTTTAGATATTAAAGAGCCTCTTAGAATGCAGCATTAGATCAGCAGAATTACAATGCAGTGATATGAAGAGTACCATTAGTAGTGGCCCCCAACAGGGAGGTACAGAGTTGAAACTTGTCAAAGCCTGATCACTCTATATTCATAATTTTTACAATATTTTTGACAGATTTACTTACAATTACCATGAAAAAAAAAAAGAAAAAAAAAAGAAGACTTATGATCAAGATAAAAAAATAATGAGTTAATACATGGCTGGTGATTTCCTCTAATTGTTAACATTAGGAACATCCTTTTCATTATGTCTATTATTAGTATTATTATTATTTTTATTTTCATTATTATAATCATTATTATCTTTATTACCATGATCATCATCACTGTTTTTGTTGTTATTATTGTCACATCAAGATTAATACTCATGTTTATTCACTCACATTTATTATGATAACAGGATTTGAATAGTTTGAGCTTGGGATGCTAATATTTTTTGGTGATGCACCAACTAATTTGATTGAAACAGTTCTCGGGAAGAAAATCACCCCAACCACTGCGCAGATTGCCAGGCAAAGGAACACCGCCAGGACAAGGTAAAGAATACTGAAAAACAAGAAAATGCAGATCAGTAAAAAGAATACACCATCCCATCATTATAGCAATGCCATTATAAAAGTATTTCAAGTTCAAATAAAGTGATGCACTCGGCCAACCAGGATACAAAATATAATCAGCATGACTGTTCATATTCCTTTAGCTTCTTCTGCCTTTTTCCCTTACAACCTCAGCCATGAGATCAAAATGTTAACACTTGTCATGTGTATTATACACTGATCAAATTGTTTCAACAATCCTCCCCTTTCCCCCCCCCCCCTCTCCCTTGACAACCCAAGGGCATTTGATGGTTGTCTATGACTGGGGAAGGGGGGTGGAGAATTCAATCCTTGCCTGGCTAGGGTGAGAAAATTGAGCTGGAAGTGTCAAGTCTTTCCAACAGAAAACACCTGTTTTATCTTTTCATACTGAGGTGTTTATAAGGTAATGGGTTCACTTTTTCAAGGGAATGGATCAGAAAAAAATGTCAAAGAGGTCAAGGTTTTCATGCTTGGTCAATGAGTGAATCTCTGATGTTTCTTTTTACCATCAAATCCAGCACTTGAGGAAGGCATTTGAACCCAATTTTGACCCCAAGGAATGGGGCAAAGCATTCTTCAAAAGTTCAAATGCTCAGAAGGTAGCCCAGGAGGGGAGATGTTAAAGCTTTGAATCAATTGACTCACTACTCACTCAATATCATCTTATTCATTCAAATGCTAAAGGTGGCCCTCATTTTCCCGAAACATCCATAGGGCTTGAGGTTAACCTTTACATCATTAAATCTTTGTGGCAAAACTGGTAGGACCACTAACAAATTCTTAATTTCATTCATTTCCCCTTTATTATCTGCTTCATAGATTTGCAACCCATTTAACAACATATTTCTCTCTCAACTTAAGGGTGTTTTGACCCTTTCACTATATGCGTGATGCACTGAGTACATTGCATAATTTGAATATCGTGTGCTTCCATGACATACTCAGTAAGTGGAAAATTAGAGAGTCACTGTCAAATCTCTAGCAGTGGAGATGTAAAATACACTGGCCTCTTTAACTCAAAATAAATCAACATTTTGAAAAATGATAAATCCATTTGCTTTGGCAAAGGACTGCTCAGTGGAGTTGGCACTTAAGGGATCAATACTAAACCCATTAATAATGATGGTGAAGAATAGATCTGAGATTAGCAGTGTTCTCTCTGTATAATCACAACTTCATACTTTTTAGTTCTTTGGTAGTTCAAGGTTGACAGACCTTGCTGCGTGTGTGGTTGATATGGAGAAGGGAAGGGAGAGGGGAATGTTTTTTTGCACCCAAATTAACTTTCCTCTCTTCGTCTCCTCTGTATGCTAGCCATATATATTGTTAGGGGTCATAGGCCTCTTTACCAAGGCAGTTATTTTTATCATCTATGACAATTAAAAAACAAGATAATTTTTTCTTTTACATCCCCAACCAAGAAGGAAAACATTACATGAATGCCCAGAAGGAGTCCTTAAATAATGCTGCTGACCAGTTTAACACTAAAGCTAGAGGCTTTTATCTACCTTGCAAATTATCAAAAAAATGCTCCCTTTTCTCGAGTTTACAAGCACTGCTCTCTAGGCTCTGCTTTATCCTCGATCCTATGTTCTAAGGTGTTTTGTATTATCTGCGCATAGCACACTGAGCTCTGCATCCTTTTTTTTAAGGTGTTTTTGTATTATCTTTCAAGGAGAAGTAATATCATGATATAAAGTGACCTACGTTCTTCTTGGCTTGAGTCGTCTGTCTCTCACAGGAATTAGTGCTACTAAGTCATGTTCTTGCTCTAAATGAAAATAATAATGACAATCAAATTAATTTTTACTTTAGATTATTTGGGTCTAGTGGGCAAGTTACTGATTTCTTTCACTGATAACATAAACATACCTATACCCAATGTACTCTTGAAAGAATTATAAGTTACACTTTCCTTGAAATATTACCCTTCCGTCTGCTGTATTGGACCAACATAATTATTTACTTTAACATGTAGAAATGAAAAATATTAACCATCATTCACTATGATAATTATGGAGGAAACCGCAATGTTTAAGATACTAAGTCGAAAATTTGGGGCTTGACAAAGTAAGGCTCAACACCATCATGCGAAAATGAAATAATTCCAAATGCAAAAGAGGTTGAAAGTTTGGGTGCATGTACAATCAAAATGCACTCCGTGCCTTCTTGGTACTACCTACGACTAGTCGTATTTCTACACGGTCTCCATTTCACAATCTCCAGAATTTCAAGTAGTTCTGTGCATCCAAGTTTAACTTAAGTTTGATGGATAGTAACAAACTGGGAATATGATATCCATATTTATCTAACAATTACAATATAATCAATTAAATATAAGTTCACTAAATAAGTTACAGTAAATGATAAACTAATGAAATCAGTCATTAACTCGTGATTACGTGAGTCACAATTTCCTTCCTGGCAATCTAAATTGCATCACAATCACTCATGAGAAACATGCTTTTATCAAATCAAAGCAGCTAACCTTTTGTTAGTTTTCCAGATCCACCGCAAGTTGGACATGTTTGTGTGAAATTTTCCTGATCTGAAACAAAGTTCACTGGAGTCGTGCTGTCGAATGCTTCGTAACTATACACAGAACTAGATGGCCGCTCTGATACCTGACCATTCGTGGAGACATTCCCATCACTTGTAGGGTCAGACAGGATGTTTTTTTCAAACGACATTGCTCTCTGCCGCTCGAAACTCCGGAGCGAGCTTAACATATCCCAGACAGGTTTGTTTCACAACTTACGTGGACAGCGGCTGTTCTTCGTTACATCACTTTGCTCAAATAAGTCTGAGTAAAGTATCTTAAAGTACCCATGATCCCTTGAAATACGCCTCTTGTTACAACTATGGCGGCTTCCTCTAGTCTTTCGAGATTGAAGGTACATGTAAGTCCGATAGTTTTTTCTCCCTTTTTTCCTTAAGATTTGGGATTAAAAGGATACCAGAGTAATCAGGTTTGATTTATATCATCTTATTAGACAGTTAGACAGTCAAGAATCGGATTTTACAGTCACAGTAAGCGCTGCAACTCAACCAGACATTAACCCCTTGGCGCATTTTCCAGCGTCATTTGAAGTCAAGGAAAACAAAGAAAACTAGTGAGTAAGCTTATTTCACTTAAGCTTACTCGTCAAACCGCTTTCTCACCAGATTTCTTTCTCTCATTGAGCGACCACCATGCAATTTTGAGTCTTGTATCTCACAAAGTGGTGGTAGGAGTGTCTTAAATCCCTTTTCACGGTCATCTCTTAGGCAAGTGTGATTCAGATTCGTTCACCCAAGTTACTGTATGTGGTGAATCTGTATGTGGGTTAGGTTCAGTGTTGCAAGAATGTGACTGGTCTGGGAATAATCAAACACTTGTTATGATCTCACTATTTTTTCCCTTAAAATGATTGCACCATCCACCCCTAACACTGAACTGCCAACATGGATCAAACTGAATGTGTGTATTGCTCACCATTGGTGGGGTGTGTATCATTCATTCTGACACAGATAGGTGGTAAACTACATGTACTAATATGGGAGCAGGAAACAAGAATCCAAAGATAAATTGCAATGTAGGAGGTCTCATAGTTTGCCCTGAATTTGCAGGTGTTTCAGCCATTTGTGGGCTGTATGAAGAACAACCTCACTGTTTTAACCAAATTACAGGTAAGAATTGTTTAAAGAACAGGTCTCTACAATATATCGGTGCAAAATCTTCTCAAAGTTTTAATAATATGACTGAACCAAAAGAATGAGACTTCAATCACACAACCACATGAGACATTCAGATTATCAAGATTGGTGTATTTGCTGTAAATGCAAAATACCCCATCATAGGAAATTTTTTTAGTGCAGGTGTAGAGAAGTTTGCTTTGTTTAAAATATTTTGGATCAGTTTGATTTTATTTCCCTTTGTCTCAGATTATGATGATAAATGCAAGATAGATATCACTCAAATTGGTATGAAAAGTTGTAAACCCAGGAAATATCTTTGAAGCACAACATATTTATGTCTAATGTTATAAACTGTTCATATCTTGCTGTGCTGATCTAATTTTTATTGTCATGTAGTCAGTTGCAGTTCTAAGACGGGGATACATTGCTTTGGTTACAATTCTAAAAGTGATGTACTGTCACACTTTATTTGTTTAATATGTCAAATGACTAGGGGTGGTTATTTCATCAATTCATGTCCATGAATTACTTAAAAAAAAAAACTCTTGCATGCAATTGATTGCTCTTGTAGGTCCCAAATGTGTTTCCTTGCTGTCATCGTGCCACAAAGACACCTCTTCCTCTACGTTATAAGTACATGGACCGATACCATTATGGAATCTACGCCAAGCAGCCTGCACTGGTGAAAGACTGCGCACTGGAGTCAGCCCGGCTGGCCATCGTGCGTGCCACCAAAACTAAGGAATTGTACATCGTGACAGCAGACATACCAGTAACCAGAAAACCATTAGGGAGCAAAATGGGAAAAGGAAAAGGCAAAGTCGATCATTATGTGGCAAATGTTATGGCGGGAAAAGTTCTCTTTGAATTCAATTGTGACAATGAAACCCAAGCCTTAGAAGCTTTTAGGCAAGCCACGCACAGGTTGCCAATGCGCACACATCTGAGAGTGAAACCTTCCGGGAAAAAAACAATATGGACTAATTTTTGAGATGCATGTGCAATGCTTAAATTATACATGGCCACCTTAAAGACTCTCCCTTGAGGAGGAACGTTTAACTAAGAAGCTTGCCATTTCTACTCATGAATTTTTTTCCAAGAATCGCATACAGGTTACACAATCTAAAAGTAAAGGTGTCTTGTAAGATGAATGTTGACATCATGCCTTGTTGACAATTTTGAAAATGCGTTCAGTTGTACGTTTGAAACAATGTTTTCCATATGGGAATGTGGGAGCAGGAGAATACAATCGAATATAACGAGATTATTCTGTACGTCGGAGTAAATTAACAGCTGAAGCGGTGAAATTTGATACGGAGAATTCTGTGTTGTAGCTGGAGGATTCTCTGATCGGCGAAGCCAGATGAACAACCTCAACAGAAGCTCAATTTTCGTCGTTGTAGGTACTGAGACTCCGGGCAATTTATCCAGAACTTCTTTCTAAAATTGCACAATTAAACTCAAGATGTTAACCATTTTACCTTCTTTAAAGTAATGCTTTCAAAGATTCACGTGACGGCAACTTCCGTCAGGTTGTCGAAAGGTCAGTCACCACCGCCGCCAACAGTCATTCTCGGGCCCACTCTCACCTGGACGACCAAACTACACGGTCAAATGTTGTTTTTTTATATGCTTTTCCGTTGAGAGATGGAGAAGCAAAAAGTAATCCTTTCTATTGGTGCCAAAGACCCATCTTAAAATGGCTCTTGTTTTGTTTTGTTTTTCTTTGAATGAGAGGGGAAGGTGGAATTTTACTGACAGGCTTCAGGAATATACAAGGTTCGCGAAATGAAGGATTTTCGGAACAACTGAGTTCGGGAACAGCGCACTCTCTGTCATAACACCGATCGTGTTGACCAACATGAGACCAAACAAACTGTGAGGAGTGCATGGTTTAGTGTGAAGCGTGATAACTGGCATAGGAAACGGTGCGTGTTTTTAACGCGTGCGTGTGGAGCGTTGCGAGTGAAAAAGAGCGCAGTCTTACGCGCTCCCAGCAGCTTTGATATCCTACCATGGTCTTTAATTATGTTGTATTTATCAGTATTATTATTCAAGTATTATTATTATAATTATTATTATTTGTACCAGTCATTTCTTTTTTTTCTTCAATTGCGAGGAGCTAATAGAACATCAGCCCTCAAACTTTGAAGGATCTGTTCTTGTGATTTCAAAAGATCGGGAAGAGTTATTTCCTCAAGTGCAACTTTCAAACAAAATTTTTATTATAAAACTTGCATTCAAAACAAGCAGGAAACAAACAAACCCACGTGGATGCCTCAATAACTGTGGAATAACTCATTTGAATTTTCAGCGCAACCATTCACAACAGGGTTGAAAGTCTGAAACACCTGCGACAACGTACGATGTGATATATACTGGCTACGGTGAAATTACTCCCTGATACTGAAGCACATTCGTTAAGATTTCATTACTCGATACACTTTCCTAGGATTGTGTCCTATACCCTGGTTTACCAACAAACATGCTTGGTCAATATTAATAGAGCAATAAATTTATGTACTAGAATCTCCTTTTATTGTGGGATGTAACATTGGATTGCTACACTTAGAGCTTCCTTTCCTTTCGTTATTGCAAAGCAATATGTCTCCAAGATCAGAGTACGCAACAATTTTGTTTTTGCGAGAAGTATTTAGTCTCTCTGTTATCAGCCACATGGAATGGAAACGATCTTTATATGCCTTGTGGCTTTTTTTTTCTTTCCGGTTCTGTTTTAGCAGCAGTAACAGCTGGCACGGTTCGCTTCTTCGAACAGGCAACCAAGAGAGAGCTAATTTGACTAATTAAAATCTGTAAGGTCATTAGGGAACTGCTACCAAGTAAAAACAATCCGGTCAAGGGTAGAAAAAGCACATGTCCTGATCTTATCGCTTTTGATTTATTTCGTTTTTGCCCAGTAACGGCCACAGTTTGTTGATTTTGGCGTGAAATGTCCACTTGAAGTTAACTGTCGGAAGCCCTTTGCATTGTCTTACAGGATCCATGCTTGAACGATTGTGTAAAGCCGTCCACCTTGGCTGCACTTGCTGAAATGCCGAAACAATACCACCTTAATATGGATGCTTTATGCAGCTCCATGTGAAGAAGTGATTATTACTAATCACCGATGATTCCATCGTACCTGTGCAAACTTGTACAAGACTGGTGATTAGACAAAAAAGCTTAATATCGATCAGAAAATGTGATCAGCTATCAATAGACAAATAATTAGGCGCTAACAAGCTAGCTAATTAGCTAAGCATCCAGTCAGAGATTTGAGGAAGTCGCTTATTCCTTTGCGATCCGGATATGACATTTAGATTGACAAAGAAAGTTTGCAATGAACTTTTTTTGTTGACCAACACGTGCACGCAAGAGTTTGTTTGAAATGGCTTTCGCAGTACCCTGTTGAGGCAGTTTAGTGTTCGCACCTGTTTCATAATAACTCGCAATAAGACTTAGTTGAAACATTTCCGACCTAGATCTTATCTACTTAAGCCGTTATTAAACTGGGATTTTTTTTGTCGCAGCACCCAGTGTTTTTATCCTGGAGCACGCCGTCTTGCGACAGCTATTGGACAGGTGATCGATTGTTCATCGACCCGCGAGAAAAGCTTCTTACCTTTAGCCTCACTCGCCGATTGCCGTTTGTTTATTGAATCCTTTTACTTATAAACATGCAATTAAGCAGGCAGGTGTAACTATATAATGAACACGGCACGTGTTACTGAGACCACCAAGATTTCTAACTGAACCTGCTAACTGTGAATAAATGATTTGTCTAATCAATTATCTTCCTTCTATCCATTTCTTCTCTTGGCAGAACTAAAATCATTCATATGATTTTACATGTATTTTAATAGTTGACCTCTGGGCACGATATATAGCCGCTACAGAATAAATGAAAATCGCGCCAAATTTGCCTGTTTATAATTTAAAATGACTACCACCAGAAAATCGATCGCAGTTAAAATATCTGCATTCTCGACAAGTTTATTTAGCTGCTAGAAAAGTGGGTCTTTACTTAGCAATAACCAGCGGAAATACTTTTAAACATTTATTTACTCACAGGCCGAGTTGCAGGGACAACATCCATTAGTTCACAAAAGCAATTTGTCAGCTTGACATCAAAAGAACGTGCTAAGATATTCTCGATAAATTAAACTGAAACTGTGAAAGAGGATCGAAAAGGAATTTAAAACTCATTTACTGAGAACAAGCACTGTCAATCTGTTTTTAAACACAAGAACAACATTCTAGGGAAAAAAAAGCATAAAAGCATGAGTAATCTTTTTGTTGTTTCATTTGTTGGTTTTTTTCTTGCGTCTCGATTCAAACCCACTTCGTTAAAAAAAAAATACATTCTCCATTTTTTATACTTAAAATAATCAACATAAATACTCACGGTTTTTCTTTTTGATACATTTCGTATTTGATTCCCTCATGTAGCTAGTTAAAGTATAATGTGTGTGAAACTGTTGCTGTTTTTTCCCAATTAATCTATTACCTATTACCCGGCTATGGTTAACTGACCGTTAGCAGAGCCATTCACATTTCATGCTTCCTTTCGAAATGATTGTCTCGTTAGTAAGAAATCGATTTCTACTGTTTTCAGTTTCCATGCCATCAGTTGTAGGCTTTTTTGCAGGAGGAAGGCTGGACATGCGACAAAATATCAGGTTGAATGGTCATAGAAAGTCATGACGATAACTGATCAAAGTGCAACTGATAGGAAGTTCTTTCTTTCTTTCGTTCAGTTGGTTGAGTAATCTCACACATCAGACAAAAATGACTGCTCTCCAAAAACAAGAAGAGACACGAGTGCACGATTTCTGATCTTCAGTATGTGCCGTGTTCCTAGAATTGATAATGAGCTAAAACTCAACGTCACCGAGAAATAAAACTCTAATTGATCTCTTTATTTTTTCCTCAGGAAACCCGGCAAAGGTACATATGTATTCTGGTTTGTTTTTGGCGAGGGGCTCGTGGTTGCGCCTCTTGAAGTTCATATGAAAGACACTAAGAATTAAATTGGCTCAGTGAAGATACGGTGCTCTAGTTGCCTTACTTATATACTTAAAAAATAAATTTCAAGGGAATTTTCACGAGATTCACTGTACGCGATAAAGACAACACAAAAAAAATACAATATAAAGTGACACAAGTTGTTTTCTTTATTGCATAAGTCTCAAAAAACCAAGGTATGAATCAATCATGAGTAAGAGTCTTAAATGGATAGGAATCATACATATATTAAAAATAAAACCTGATCAGCAGAAGTGAGGAATGTGGTTAAGAATATAAAAGATTGACGGAGATTGTAACTAAGGAGCGTACAAACATAACGTAGCTTCTGTGCGGAGTGGAAATTCACTTTTTTTTCAAAGCAGTTCTTGAATCTTTCGATCAAGAGCTCAAGTACCGATGTAAAATAAAAACTGACCTATATTGGCCCCAGGGGTAAACTCAGTAAGCTATGTCTACCGAAGTCATCTGTTGCCATAGGAGCTCGTCTCAAGCCAGGCTAGAGTTAACAGCGGGAAGGCGAAGACAATTGTTCTTCTCTCTGCAGTGCTGCGATAGTTTCTGAATCAGTTGCTACGAAAAACAATCTTGAGAAATAAAAATAAACTCCACAACTGACTAAGAGAAGAAATTATGAAAGAAAATGATTCGATATACTGCTTTTCTTTGTGTATTTTAAGAACATACGACGTCCGGTGCTTCAGAAACTCTGAACGTCCGCTTGATTACGATTTTATGACAATGTAACGCTATATGCAGTAGAGTCATTTTGGAAATTGAGAGAACTATAGACTGGATCTTTCCATTACACTTGAACTTAACGAGTCTTGAGTTTCACTGCGTTGCTCAAAGTTTCCTTTGTTTTGCTTTTTTTATTTTTTGTCTCAACCACAAACTTTTATTACACGACATAGAATCATATGTATAGAGAGATTCCATTAGACTTTTCTATGTACTGATGAATTTGTAACTATTGCGAAAAATTCCTCTCAACTTGAAATTACTTCACGACGTGATCACACATCACTTGAAACTCAACAATGTCTTGATGTTCACATGTTCTTTTCACAAATTTTTCCGCAAACTGTTCAAGGTCTTAATTCAAGCCTTTGTTCATTGTTTATTTTTACCCCTGCCGATGCTTTTTAAGAAGTACAATTATGAAACTAGTTACGACGTTCAGAAACCCTTCAGCATTGTCCACTTTACTGACAAATGCACCTCGAGATAAAGGATCTTTTGTCGATCAGGCGACCGCAATTAACTGACTGTTCGGTCGCTGGGGTATCGTACAAAAGCATTGAATAAACAGGCAAACATAAAACCGTGGGAAAGTTTGCCATTTTTAAATTATGTACATTTTAAAAAGTTGTTCCTGTATCGGCATTCTTCTGAAAGAATTTACTAATAACGCGCTGAGCTTATCTTGAATTTCGAAATGGTTCATATCAATGCTATTACTTTGCTTTTGTCACTAATGCGTCCGGCTCAACACACTTCAAAAAGCATGTCAGTCAATAATGTTCTACAAGAGACCCGATTCTTTTTGTTTTGCTCAATTCCATTGTTCAGAAGTGGCCTGCCCTTATTTACTTATCTTGGATTTCTAACACGCTTCGTTCGTCTGTCCTCTTTAGAGCAGTGCTTCAGAGATATAAATGCTCTTTCCTAATTGGTTGGTAAAACAATACATTCTCATTTTCCTTTTTACGACACGTGCATCGCATAGGGTAGCATAATGCGCCCGTTCTCTGGCCAATGAGCGTTGTAAGAATTACTTGGTCAGAATATCATTTATTTTCATGTATTTATATATGAGTCATAGCCTTACATACAATAGTAGGTTGTTATTCACCAGCTCTTCGACTTCTTACCTTTGTTTTTTTTCTTTGAGAGGTGTAATGAAGCGTTCTTTTAGTGAGAGTGATTCAGACGAGGGATATCTTTTTGTGCAAAAGTAGGTTATTTTAAAATTAAAAAAAGACCTCCGATTCTGTTCTTGATGCGCCTTATAGGATTATTAATAGTTTTATTATCTATATTTCATCCAAGTTCCGATGCACCCGACAACGAAAATTCCGAAGTAAGTGCTCGGAAGAGACGTCGAGGGGTAAGGAAAACTGTTTAGTTAATTCATGTTTCAAGAGCAAGAAAACAAAATTTAACGATAGGGAAAAATGCTCAAAATCATTTTTTATCGACAGCAAATTGAGAAGAAACGGCGAGATCGCATAAACAGCTCTCTCGCAGAGTTGCGACAACTGGTGCCTGCTGCCCTTCAAAAACAGGTGAGTGACTCTACTCTAAAAATTAGCTTGATGCTTTCACTGTAAACGATAAATGTTGCAGCAAGACTAAGTGGAAAGGCTTTATAGAATTGACCCAGTAATGGTACGTATCTATGGTCAACAACTGTTTTATTCTTCGCCTCAAAATTATCCCTCTTGACATTTCTTGTGTAGGAATCCGAGGGGAGCAATATCGTGTCATTTATCACTTTACTCATCTATTAATCTAGTACAAATTTACTTTTAAGGGCTCGACAAAGCTGGAAAAGGCAGAGATCCTTCAGTTGACTGTGGAGCACTTGAGAGGTTTAAAATACGGCGCTGAATATAACCCAGGTTAGAGATCATTATAAACATGAACGGCAACTTGTTAAGAACATTGCTCTCGCAAGAATAACAGCACTTGGAGAGAGGCCAGAATTTTTAAGGGCTTTTAAAACGCACATGGCTGATAAAAGGTCATAGAATATGAATGAGACCACAAAACAGGAATTTGAGAAGCGTATAAGCTACGTAAGAAAAGCAGAAGTTTCTTAGAGTGTTTGTAGTCGGCTGCGCAATCAACAGAAGCGAATACGCGAGATATAATTTGCCTCTTTCTCGTGGTTTTCACCTAGTATATAAGTATTACGATGATAAACGCAAAGGATCAATACGGTTTAATTACAAGAGCACAAATCTATATCACTCACCGCTCGTCGTGCGGAAGGATTGTGCTTGCTTTGCTAATGTACTCTGAGCACTCATGTATATTCATCTGATCTTTCACCCACAGGTTTTACTAACACGCGCCCAATTGATGAGCGCATACCAAGACGCCAGGAATGCATGGCCGAGGGTAAGCCATGCTTGTCCGCCTTGACAGAAGGTTCGGAAACCGCATGCATGTCTCCTGCAAGGCGGCAAATCACAAATCATCTCAACTGGAATACTTCATTACAGAGCGGTTACCACTGCGGTCCGAGCCCGCCAAGTACGACTACAATAGCTTCAGCATTGAAAACTGAATCAAACTTGTCAGCACCTTGGCAAAGTTCAAGTGCAATTTTATCATGCGTTAAACAGGATGTTAACGACAATTTTCAAAAAGACCAGGATCAAGTGTACAAGGGAAAAGATTGGCGTTTATCTGTAGCTCTGAACTACCCCATAATTCTTCCAATTCAAGCACCGGGTCTTTCTAATGTTCTGCGCTCTCCGTTAGGAGATACAGTACCTTTGATTGACTTGTCGATGGCCTTGATAACGAAAACCAACATTTCTGCCCCTTTCAAAGCCCCTTGGGCGCCATAAAGCGAAATGAAGCGAAAATAGGTTGACGTTGGAAAATGAGAAATTATTCATAACAACTCTAGTTCACTGTCGCGAAAACAAAGTCTATGATTAAGGCATAAACACTGCTCAACTTTCTTCTTTGTTAGACCAAGAAGCTGACAAGAATAATTTACCCCGATAGGTAAACTTGAACAAAGAATCGTTTCTAAAAGAAAAAGGGATTATTTCTTTTAGAAATTTAATTGAATGAAATTCGATGAAAAAGAGTACATCGATATTAGAGAACCTTTTTGTTTGCTCTTAATCAACTGTCAGTTAAACGTTAAAGTAAACACATTTTTTCTCTTTTTGGAGGAATTAACTTTGATTGCATGTTACTGATGTCTGCTTCTGCGGCTGATATTTTGTATAACAATTAAAGCATTACAAATATTTCCCATTTCTAAAACCACCGGCTTTTGTGGGATAACAGACAAAATATTTCAGTCTTAGATAATACGAGTAAGATGAACGAAAACTCTTGCCTAGGGGGATATTGCTTAATATTGACACGTGCGCTAAAAATGGCCTTTGTATCAGTCAGTCTGTGCGCATTCATCAGAAAAAATGTGTATTTAAATTTTTTGTATTTTCCCTTGCTTGAAAAGTTGTTCATTAAATAATGGCCCTTGCAGCTCTTTGTTTGCTGTCTGTGGGTTGTGGTTACAGATCGAAAGAATGCGTGCATTGGGCTTTAGAATGTTCTACAGAGGCTTAACTCACAACTCTAACGATGCAGGCTCAATTGTGATCCAGTCGCGTGGTTATCAGAGAAACTCAAAAGTCCTATTGCTCCCAATTCAACCATACCTCATGTGACGTTGTTTAGATACAAGGCATCATATATATGCACACTCGTAAGAAAGTGTAAGGTAAGCAAGTGCTCACTTCTCCTTCCATTTTTACAATATTTCCAACGGGCGGGTAGTAAGATTTTTAAGCTTGATCATCCAATGCTCGGCAGCTTTTATCATTGGTGAAAAAAGTATTATAGTTGGTTTGTCGTATGATTCTCCTGTTTTCCGACATTCAGATTTATTTCAGTCGACTTAACATTGGGCAGAATGCCTATTGTTCTTGCGACATTTACTTGCAGTGGCGAAAATATTATAGATCTATAATATTAGGAATAATTCCTAAGTTCTTCAAGTCTTTCAGTTTCAGTTTGCGTAGTTGTGAGAGATTTTATCCCGTACTGAAAGAAGATTGGATCAACTGAGCATGCGTGGATGAATGCACTTGATTGATACCGAGTAGACTTGCATGAAGGAGGGGTGGGGGAAGGAGTGGTGGCGAGTTATTTTGTAGCATATGTTTCCTTTTTCCGAGCTTTAGAGCAGAAAACAACTTTACCCCGTCTATGCTTATTAAAAATCAGATCCATGGAACAGTTTCTAAACGGAACAGATTTCTGCGTCGGGTAGGTTCGAGCAAAGAGGCGGTTTTCAGTTAGCTTATTTCTTCAAAAAAAAAAAACAAAAAAAAAAAACTGGAAGGATAAGTTCAATATTCCCATCCTCACGGAAGCAAGAATGAATTGAGATCGGATGCAAAACACACCCTCTGTTGAATCTCTTCATAGTCCCTTTGGTCGCCTTCCTAGTTCTGAACAGAATTAAAATAGAAACAATTTCAAGATATGATAACGAAAAAGATTATCTTATTAAACTTTGGCCTCCCCTTAAGGACAAAATTGGATCGCTTCATATATGCTTTTGTTTGTGGCAAAAGAAGTCAAAGCTGATTTTAATCTTGTTGCGTTACATTGGATGATTCATGTCACGCAACGTTCGTGATGATATGAATTCCAGGTAATTCTTATTTTTTGCTTCCTCCAAAGCCTCCTGTTACATATCTCAGTGGCTGAAGCTACAGATAATTCTTTTAATCTGAACCCTTAGGAACCTAAATCATCGAATTAGCAAAAGATTTTCATTGTTTGGAGATTTCACGAGAGCATGCTCTCATTGGCGAGGTGATTTGCATATTAATATCGCCTGCGATCGCTTCAAACAAACATGGCGTGTGTTCCGTTATTATTGCTATTGCTGGAATTCTTCGTGCTTGCTCCGTCGCCATGTTTTGCTCAGTGTCCGAAAAATTGCCAGTGCACACAACAAGGAATTACTGGGTCTCCGAGTTTTAAGAAGACTGTTGATTGTTCCGCAAAACTTGGCGGATTAGAAGTTGCTCCTAATGTCCCCACAGACGCGACTCACTTGTAAGTGAACACAGTTTATAAATTTCGTTCATTAATATTTTAAGCTTTACTTTACTTTAACTGTTAGACGCTTAAAGAGAATATTTACAATTTCTTATTATTGTTTGGTTCGTATTCCCGCCAAGGAGATTAGATCGTGTTCTTGTTCGTTATTCGATCTTTGAGCTGTGGATCTGAAGTAGCAATATATTTCCGCCTTACTCACAATATATCAACGACGAGTAACCTATCAGACAATTTTACACAGTAATCTTCAACTGATCTTAGGAGACACGTTGGATTTCCATGCTTCATTAACATCCTGAACATGTCATAACCTTGTGGAGGTTTGTTGTAATGGTTTCCTCTGGGGAAACGAGTCGTAACAACGCGAATGTAAATGATATTTAGTTGTTCCGAAGGTCTTTTATTGTGCCTGTGGTTACGTGGTTATGTATGGAGAATCCCCCCCAAAAAAATAGACTAAGTTTTAAGTCACTTTGTGAAAATGATAAATAGCGATAAATGAGGTTAAAGACAGTAGGGCCTCGCTCCTCGATCGAAAGGACGCAATGAATGACAACCGTTCACTGTAGCGTCTTTTTCGTGTATTGAAACCTACAACTCGGGGAAAATTGTCAAGCTTGTTAATTTCTTTCTCCATTGTCACTGATAAATCGGTTGCATTTAACAAGGGTCGAATTTTTGGATCGTTGAGCATATATTTTATGGTGCTTGGGTTCACACTTTTTGTTTTTCAGTTTGTTTTCATTTCTCCTTGGTTTGCATTTTTCATTCACACGTAGAGTCTAATTGCATGCTCTCGTATTGACGTGTCTAAACGAGATTTTAGTGACACCTTAAATCCAGCTGGGCGCCATAAATTTTGTTACTTTTTAAGTGTCATAACGCCAACAAAAAGCGACATTGGAAGAATAGCTCCAGTAAGCTTATCATTCTCAAAGTCTAATCGAATGTTCCTGAGGTCAACACTTCGCTGTGACCTCTAAATTATTTGCAACTTCCTTTTGACAAAAATTTAAAACATCACGTTCATTTACAATATCGATAGTATTAACCCGCTTTGCTAAATGTGCAAAATCGGCAGCGATTTGTGTTTTGTGGCAAAATTGCTTATCCACACCAATCCTCCTCAAAAGTCATTCTTCAGATTTTTTTCCCTAACCGTAAGTTTTTGTCAACAAAACGTTTACATTTCACATGCAATGTTCCGTGCGAATGGATTTAATAATGTACTTCGTTTTGCGAAACCCAATATCGTCAGCCTTTCATCATGGAACATTTACTTCTATACATTTCCTTCTAGTATTGACGGACATCATCTATTAGTGATTATAAGTTCGATTAAATGACACTTGTTGTACAGCCTGCCGTGTATTGTTCTGTGGTGAAAGAAAGAACGTGATGAACTATCAACAGAAGGCTCTCGAAAGAGAACGCTCGAAGATAGATACGATCGAAGAAATGTTGTTGAAAATCAATATAATTTCATTTTAGTTGCTTTTATTTTCGGCGAAATTGCGTCATCTTTCAGCATCCTAATAATATTTCATCATACAAAATATTGGCAAATGTAGTCTGTAGTGTTGCGTGACCTTAGTGTAGTACAATCGAACAACCTTACAGAAAGTCGCACTTCGTTGATAGCCGAATTATAAGAATAAAAAGCATAGTTTTCGGGAAAATTTAAAGAAATTTTACTTTTACTCCACGCGTTGCTTGGTGTAAATATTTAGTTACCGTAATGATCCCTCACACTGGGACATAATAACCCCAGGATAAAATCTGTCAATTTATTTTAAACTCGCTGGTGACAAGAGGCACGTACAAGGAGAGAGGTTGCAATCGGAAGCATTTCCAGTGCCTTTTGGATGTTTAATAGCAAAGAAAGTTCTAAAATCAAGTAAAAATTTGCTAATCTGTCAACCTGGGTTTTGAAAATCGATTCAACCGACATAATTTCGTAACTTAGAAGTCACGTGGATAAGTGTTTACACGGAACCAAATCCAAGTTCAAGTTATTTGCATTAAACTAACAACCATTCAAACTATCCTTATTACTTATTTGAACGACGAGAAAAAGTAGCACTCGCTCAAACAGAAAAGGAATCAAAGAATGACTGTCAGTAAATGACAGCAAGAATGGTACTCTAAACGCGAGCTATTTGCCAAAAAGTTCTTCTGATGTATCAAGAGGCCTGTGGATAGTGTTCTATTTGATGAGCGATCTCTTATAAAGTGCTGAGGCAACTGGCTAGGGAATAAAACACTCGGTTATATGAGATAACTGACGATAACTGTCAGCATACCACGAGAAAAAAAGTAAATAGTTAGCTTATTTGTTTCCCAATTTACCGTATTTATTCGACTAAAAGCCGAGCGATTTTTACACGAATTAAAACTGAATTGAATTAAAATTTGGGCTCTAGAGGGGGTCTCGGCTTATAGCCGAAAGTTTTTGAAAAACATTTTTCCAGCGCTTGGAAACTCTACTAAATCGGGATGTATTTACTTATAAGCCGAGCCGAAGTAAAGAAACACGAAACATGAAATAAACGAACACAAGATTGTTTGATAGACACAACGGATGTGTAGGTACCGGTGATGCCGCTTAACATCACAGTTTTAAATTGATTTTTTTGGATCACATTAATTCATCTGAGTTATAATTCGCTGCTTTTTAATTGAATAGTTAGCAGCTTTTTTGTCCTTTGCGTATTAAATCACCATAAATCACCATCTTCCAAGCCTCATTTATGAAAACTAATGTGATTTTTTTCAGAAAATGTTAGGTTTTCCCGTAGTTAACAATTCAGTCTTGTAATTATGAATGGATCTCGGCTTATAGCCGGGTGTTTTCGATTTAGTTTTGGTTCTCGTTATGCCGAGTCTACACGTACAAAGTTTGGGGTCTCGGCTTATAGCCGAATAAATACGGTATACGTCGTAGATTTTAGTGTAACAGTCCTCGAAAGAATTCTTTAAGACTGGAAGGAATTTGGGTTTTCAGCGGGGTGTTTCCCATGTCTGTTGACAAAGAAAGGGAAGGCCATGAGTACACTGCAATCCAAAAGACGCAGCAAACTGGAAGTAAAGCGAATTTGTTACTGTTCCCATAATCTCAACGACAGACGCAAATTCTACTTCCCTAAGAAGCGATTACACGGAAAGACTGTCTCCTAATTCCAAGCACACTTAATTATACAGAATGACTGAACCTCAATAAGTGACCAAAAAAGTCGCCAGTGTTGAGATATGTACTCAGAACCCCAACAGAATGGACCTTATTTTTAGTTGCTCATAAGAATGCTCGTTCCATCGTCCTTGTTAAAATTGCTTTTGAAAAAATCTGTGTTCGAGGTGTTGTAGTATCATCTTCAGAAACTTAACCCTTTGACGTGG